AGGAGGGGGAGGGGGGGGGGCAGCGGACGGGGAAGCGCCGGCGTCCCCGCGCGGCCAGTGCAGGAGTTCGATACGGGGGGCCTATGGGAGGTGAGCCCTGGGCGCCAACCGGCCCGCTCCGCGCCTGTACTACAGCCCAAAACGTTTCCGAAAAGAAAACGGCAAAACAAAGCAAAAGGGGCTCGCCCTTCCCACCAGACGCCGCGGGGTTGTCACCTCCGCGTCGCTGCGCCGGCAACTCGCCGACGCCCGGTGCAAGGGGCCACGCTTTATCTCCGCCTATCGCCTCGGGAAATTATTCACACCTTTGCCGTGTGGTCTGTGATATCGAGCGTCGTCATGACTATTGGCGCGACCAACGAGCCTCCCGGACATACACCTCTGAGGGGCTCTAGGCTGGTCGATTACGTGGGCATTATTAAGGGGAGAAAGAGGCCAGTGTCAGTTGCGCCCCTCTTGCCCTGCACTCCAGGAAATGATCCGGACAATCCGAGAGCGCGCGCACACCGCGGCGGAAACCCAAGTGTGTGAATGTCGCTCACTTGTAGGTTTGTGAACGCCATTCGTTCACACGTCTTGCACACGTAGTGCACACCTTTTCTCCCTCGAAATTTGTGCGAATGCGCATTCACACACCTACAAGTGTGCTACACATTCACACACTTGCGTTTCCAGTGCCAGTGCGGCTAAAAACACTCCAACCTTTTTTGTTTAAGGTGGATAGGCAACCCTCGGCGCCCGCCCGCCGGGGTGTCTGTGATCGACAAGTTCCCATTATGACCGTACAAATCCACCGCCTTTGAGTGGAACACAGACAGACGCACACTAAATCCTTAAGCATTTTTTTGTGCGTAAAATTTATAAAATTCTGCCTGTTGTGTGCAGATGACTCTCTGCACACGTGTGTAGCAGTGTGACACAGGTTTACACATTTTACGGTGTGCCCGCTGTGGGGTATAAGAGCGGGAGGGAAGCCGTATTACAGACGGAGGGGAGTGGTGGGAGTGGCCTCTGCACCGCCTCACACGTTCAACTTCAAACGGGGATGCGCGGGACGCGCGCTTTTCACGTGTGCGAACAGCGCAGAAAACGAGAAAAAGCAAGTGTGCAATTCTATATTGGTTCAGCGCATCGTACGCTGAGCCTGAGCGCTCCTTTGACCCATAATCGATGGTGCCAGACTTTCCTCGTTCCCTGGTCGCATCATTCTTTTATACGTATCGTCCTCTTTTCACGACTGACTCCCCGATGCCCGGTAGCTGATGCAGCAGATAGGCAGCGTTTCACCCGCTATACATAGCTTCAAGCAATTTCATTAGCTTTTGAAAGTCAAAGTGCCTTACTTTTCTTTAATTTTAACGCCGTGGTGGTCATCGTGGACCGTTTTGAAAGAAATGAAAATAAATAAATATCGAGTTACAGCTATTTTTTAGCACTGCACATAAAGAAAAGAATATTAATTGTATAGATTCTGCTATAATTCCCGTTTGTTTTCTATTTTTGTAATTGTAAATTGCGAATGGTTTTTTTTTTTTTGTGTTTTTTTTGCATTTGCTTTCACCCTTGCGCGGGAAATGCATATACACAACATGTGACACTTCGACTAAAACTGACCACGTTTATATGCTTTCCGATGACGCATGAAGACAGAATAATACGTAAAGAAGGGGTACGATTGTCGGCAAAAGCGCGCAGACTAAGCACATTTCGTCGCAGAGTAACGAAATCGCTATACGGTATAAAAGCGCGCTGCGGGATTGTGGACGCATTCTCCGCTCCCTACGGCGATCTACGTGCGCTGCTGTGGTACGGTACCCCCCGGCCCGGCGCTATGCCCGTGCGAGCGAGTTGGGCGACCCTTTCTTTCTCACTCTCTCTTACTCTCTGCAGTGCGCCCGCGTTGCGGCGGCACGGAGCAAGACGCCGCCGCCGCGGTGCAGCTCTGCAGCGCCGGGCCGTCGGGCCGTTACTCGGGGGTCCCGCCCGTTACGGGTCAAGTGCGCGGCGTTATGGGGAGATGCACCTAACGGGACCAGCTGCAGCTGCAGCCCGCTGCACCTGCTATACACGTGCAGCTGCTACGGCTGCACACACACACACACAACACACATACTCGCATACTGAACTCACCTTCGCAGAAGAGGGTGACATCTGTGAGGCTCTCCGATTTGAACAGGTTTCCAAAGGCTGTCGCCAAATTGCTGCCGAAACTGTTCCATTTTAGACAGAACTGCTGCTGCGAATCCATTACCGAGGTGTTGGGCCGCGCCGCCTGTAGGGGAAGACGGGCGTCAGAATACATTTAATAATAATAATATCAAAAACAATAATAAAAAACATCGTGAAAAGTACTAATGTTGGGATGTGCCTATGTCGTTCGACCCATTCACTGTTCAAAATATCGTCGTAAATTTACAAAAAATTTGTAAACTTGAATTATAATTTAAGTTGTCAATTTACGAGAGCACATTTTTTACTCGCCAATGGATTTGAAGTCGATACGTGCTGCATGTATTTTTACGATTCCAAATTGTAATTTTACAGCTTGCGTCAAGGAAAATTTACCTGTAAACCTACCTCCTAGTGTTGAAACTACTAAAAAATACGATTCAACAAACAAAAAACATGAGAAAAATTATACCAGATCGTCTAAAAACAAACTTTTTTTGTTTTTAGTGTTTTAAAATTACTTTGACTTGTTGCCATGTGTACAACTGTTTACACAGTGTGAGCAGGCCATTAGAACGTTCACGATAACTAACGATAACATAGATCTATAGGCACGCTACTCTAAACGTAACATTTTGATTGGCACTCGTAATGCAGGAAAATGGGAAAGAAAAAAAGTGATGATCCAGCCGGAAGTACAACAAACAGGTCACTTACCGGACTTCGAGAGAGTCAGCAACTCCAGTGTGGGTCGCCAGGGCCTGCAGCAACAGACAAAAATCCAGGGTCAGTCAAGCTAGCGTCGGGCCCACGACGCGCGTCCATACCATACATACTGCTCACAGTCACACACACATTCACACACACACACACACACGGCTAGCTGCAGCCGCCCCCCCCCCCCTCTTTCCCTCCCGCTGTACGTTCGCCGTGCGACCATTGTCATTGTACAGTACCCGGACAGTACCTCCACCTCGCCCCGCCCCGCCTGTTCGCGGGTCTATGATTTTTGCAGCCCGGTGTCATCCACCTTTATGACAACCGGCTGGCGCGGACTAGGCGCGAGCTCCGCTCAGGGTTACGCTGAACCCGAGCCCGTCTCCCCCCCCCCCCTCTCTCTCTCTCTCTCTCTCTCTCTCTCTCTCTCTCTCTCTCTCTCTCACTCACTCAGTGCAGTGTTTCTTTCCTGTTCATCATGCTGTTTCAGTGCTGATTCAGTTCAATACGCTCGGTCGGAAATGCGAAAGAAACCTTACATTGATAACACAGGAACGACACAGGAAGGCAACGTGTATGTGAGCGAGCAGGCCAGATGCAGACTCCAGGAACATTAAATAAAACACAGTCCGCTTGGTTGCAAAAGTTTTGCGAGGGTAAAAAATTGATCCAGAAAGGACGGTAAAAAAACAACGTCTGAGTTTTTGAGGAAAAGGGGAAAACTTTGAGGAACTCCTTCACTGCGTAAAAATTATTATCAAAAATTTACAAAATTTTTATGACCTCGAATTATAATTTAAGTTTAAATTTACGAGAGTACAGTTTTTACACGCTAGTGGATTTTAAGTCGACACGTACTGCATGTATTTTTACGATTACAAATTGTAATTTTACAACTTGCGCCAAGAAAATTTTTCCTGTAATCCTTCCCACTTTTTTTCACAGTGTTGAGTTGTTAGATCCTCCAGATTTTGAGGAATCCTATTTTTTTTTTAAAATGGAGAAAATTTCCACAATTTGAGACTTCTCCTGTTTTTCTCTTCTTTAAAAAAAAATCAAACCGTTTTTATATTGTGGGGAATGATTTAACAATTTTACGAACTGGGTGATGCCGGTATTTCCTACAATTTATAAACGATTACCTTAGCTGCAAGCTGATTTTTTAAAGGTCAGTTTAACAGCGTATGTTTGTGATTCTGCAACAGCTTTGCCGTAAAATAAAATTATTTGTCTTGTAATTTCTAATTTATAACTTTTTTCTACTTTATAAGTGCTTGATGTTTTTCATTGACATCTATTATATAATTCCTCCGTAGGCACGAGCCATCTCTCTCCTCCCTTCCCCCTCCATTCCCTCACTCCCTTCCTTCCTCCCTCCCCCTTCCCGTCTTCAGCACGTGCGGCAGGGTATGGACCTCGCGTATGACGAATATCATACAGTACGCAAAACGGTCCTGTTTTTGTGGTGAAGTTGCTAAGAGGTGTGCTACAGAGTGTTTCCAGCTGCCCCGTACTTGTTTTTAGTTGGGTTTGCCTTTCGGCTCCGAGCGGTTAGGCAAGCCGCCTGCACGCGTGAATGCGGTACAGTACACCCAGAGTACCCGTCGCCCGGTCTGCAGCTGAGCAGGAGTGAGAGAGACAACTGGTGGAGCCGCATCGTAGTGTGCGCTCTGCATCCCCGAAAAATCATTTAAAATAAAAACTCTACCACTTTCATTTCAAATCTTAAATAGGTGTTTCAAAAGGGGTTTCTTTTATATCAAACAAATTATAACGATCGTGCCTAACGAGCTAAAAGGAAACAACCCTAGCCCCGATCAGGAGGCTGAGAGAGAGAGAGGAAGAGAGAGGGCCCATATGGAGGGGGGGGGGAGATGACGTGGGCGGGGGAGGGGGAGGGGGGCAGCAGGTTGCACGGTGCTGCGCCCCTGTGCTGTGCGTCATCCTTCGCTCCCGAAAAAGAGAGGGAGAGAGAGACGCGGGGAGTGGAAAAGGGGGAGTGGGGGAGGCAAGAAGAAGAAGAGCAACAACAAAACAAAACGTCCATCCGCAAGTTTCGGCCACTCGTTTCCGCCACCGCCGACTGCTGCTGCTGCGGACTCGCCGGCGCGGAAAAACGTCGGGGACGACCTTGATTTTCGCGAGGAATGCGCTCATAGTCGTCGTCAGCCAAATAATGCAGTGGGTGTTTGCGCCGGGGCCGCGCGGGCGTGGGCGGCGGGGGACGCAGTGCGACACGCGCAGCAGGGCCGCGGCTGACCTTGCTGCACTCCGCGCCGTGCACCCCGCCCGACATCGGGGTCGCGAGAGGAGAGCCCGCGGCGAGAGCGGCCGGTCGCTCCTCAGATTTCGCACACGCCACAGCAACAACGATGACTGTTTCTGCAGCGGCGAGCAAGCGGGGCCCGTTGTTGTTGTTGTTGTTGTTTTTGTGCATCTCCAGCAACGGCACATCGCGGCTTACGCAAGCGCTTCACTGCAAGGGCGTTGATTTCCTTTTATTTTGATGTTGTTGATTGATATGTTGTTGCAGCTGCTGTTGTGTTTCGACTCCAGCGAAAGGTTTTCAATTTCGAACTGATGAGGTGCATTCGCGCGCCGTCTCCTTTCTCCAGGACGCCGTCGAGCGCCCCTCGCGGTGTCCACGGCGGCGTCCCCTCGCCGGCCCCCAAGCCCAAAGGGGTCGGCTCAATGCGCCATGATGCCATGTGAGAGGAGGAGAGGGGACCAGGGGGGCCGGAGGCGGGGAGCGCGCGGCAGGACCAACGCATGCCTCTCTCTCTCAATCTCTCTCCCTCTCCCGCACGCTCGCACGCAGGGGGCCCCAGGCCCCCCGAGGTAGAGAGGCGGCCAGGCCCGAGCCTCCAAGACAACGACGGCGACAAAAGATTGCCAGAGATTCCATGCAAAAACCTCCTCCTCCTCCTCTCCTCCTCCACAACCTCTTCTCCTCCTACTCCTTCTCCTTGCGAGCCGAGCCGTGCTCGGCCAACCAGCCGGGCCCGGCAAAAGAGCAGGACGAGAAGGAGAAGGGGAACTGAGAGGAAGAGAGAGGGGAGAATGGCACACGAGGAGACGAGAACAGGGGGGGCTGGCGGCGACCACCAGCAGCAGCACGGCGAAGGCGGAGGAAGGAAGCACACAAAGAAAATGACCTTGGACTTGAAATCTGCTGTGACCGGGCGGGCAGGGCGGGCTGCACGGCGACGGGTAGGAGGCCAAACCGGGCGGGCCACAGGCGCGCGAACGCACGCACACACACACACGACGAACACGTAGCACTGTGCGGCACTGCATTTGCCACTCTCTCACACACGCACACACACACACACACACGTGGTCTGCAGTGGACTCGAGCTGCACGCCGGCGCTGGGCTCTCCCCCCTGAGCGCGACCCCCGGCCCCGCAGCCGGCGCGCGGCATTCCTTCAAGGAGGCGCCGAACAGGTGGCCGCAGCAGCGCGGGGGGCCGGTGCGGGGCGCGGGCTGCAGCAGCACGGCGTGCAGAGCGACGGCGTCGACGCCGGCCTCCTGATAGGCAAGCGCCCCCCGGGAGGAGGGGGGGGGGGGGTGAGGGGGCGCCAGGAGGGAAGCACCCACGAGCGCTCGGCCCGCCGCCGCATGGCACGGCTGGCGCGCACGCCGCACTGCCCTTGCACTTGCACTTCTCACACTCACACACACACACGCACTCACGCACGAGGCTCGCACGACAGACATATATGAAAAAGGTGTTACTCGCATTTCATTCTAGTCCTCCTCCATGGACTTGCTCTCTGGCGACTCCGTAGTGCGCGGGGTCTCCCGGCGGCGGCCGCTGCACGCTGAGGGGGGAAGCTGTTATCCGAGTGTCGGTGAGCTGCTCGCCGATGTTGTTGTTGTCACAACGCGCGACACGGCACTCTGGCACCGACAGGTCGTCGCCGACGGGGGGGTCGCCGGCCGACAGGACTCGGGAGGGGAAAGGGCTTGTGCTTCTCGCGGGTTGCGGGCGCCGCGCTGCGCGGGGCGCACGGCTCGGCCTGGCTCTCGGATCTCACGGGGGCCGCTGCGCTGCGCTGCCGACGAGCGCTCGTTCTGTACTCACTCCGCTCCGCGCGAAGCTCGGTGGTGGCGGGGCGGAGCGCGGAGCGAGCGTTGCGGCGGCATCGCGCAGCGACAGGCGTTGCTGCGCCCCCCACCCCCCCGGGGGAAAATTCGGCTCGGCTCGGCCATCCCGGCTCGGCTCCGGCCGGGCGAGACTCGGCTCGGCTCGGTCCCTGCCGCCTGCTCGGCTCGGCAGCGGCTCGGAGCTCCGTGCAAAGCGAGTTCTGCAGGCGCGTGCAGGTGCCAGCGGCGGAAACGGCCGAGAGTCGCGGCGCGGCGCAGCTCGGGCGGACCCGAAGCGCGTCCGAGCCGAGCAGAGGCCGAGCCGCGCCCGGCGCCGGGAGCCGAGCCGATCCGCGAACACACACAAGGTAGGCCCGCGAGAGAGACCCGCGCCGGGTCCGCGTTGGCGAACCCAACCCAAAGGGAACCCACGCCACCCGCGGCACTCGACTCGCGGTCCGAGGGGAAGGGGGGAGGGGGCGCACTCCCCCACCCTTCACCCTTCACCTCCCCTCGACACGCACCGGCTCAAACTTCATTGTTGTCAAGAAAAGCGTAACCAAGTCACTGTTGTCATTAATTTCTCACTGTTATCAATTGTTGTTATTGTAATACTGATGATACATAACTATTGTTGTCAACGAGTTTACAGTATTTTGCGACCGTCACATTTTGTTGTCACCACGTCTCCTCAACATCGAAATCGTTGTGGTAAAAAAATCCTATGAATCACTTCGACAACAACAATGCACAAATGACATTGACATTGTAAAGGGCTGAAACAGTGCTCGGACATTTCCGACATAAACTGGCAGTTTAATTAACAAGACTTCTTAGTGCCAAGGGATTTTTGCGCTACCGGCATAGTGTAAAGAACACACTCAATGATTTTGACGGACTGCCATGGGCGGTTTTGGGCGTAAATCGCATTACAAGACGTCGGTATGGACCGCCAGTCGGATGGTACCCAAGTTCCACTCTCCATTTTGTGAGGGGGCTGTACAAATGTCCTTGCAAGTCCCCCTACTGCAAATTTGCAACGTTTACACAGTGCACAACACAAATCTTTTCGCTCCAACTCACCGATAATTTTAGTTGTCACGTTTATAGATGCATCCTCCCATCGGCACCCACGTAGATCGTCACGCAATTAATCGTTTAATGTTTAAAATAAAAATTCACTCATCTGAACACAGGAAAAAAATGAGTTACTGCCGGAAACAGCGGGTATGTGCAGTGAAGGCCACTGCATTTGATTTGCAAAACTAGTTTTCCTGATGTTGAGTTGAGCTATGAAGGATACACAAAACCACATTAAAAAGAAAATCTAACGCAAAAAAATGAATGTAAACCCGCAAAAACAAAATGATGTTCATACAATTAAATAAAAAAGGCGACTAATTCATTTCTGCACCGCAGAAATGGGGAAGACCGATTTTTCATACACAGTTCAGAGACCGTGGCGCCCCTGGTGGCGAGGGTGTCACCTACGCGATCGTCTTGTGTTTCTGTCCTTCTGTTCTGGCCGTCTGTCGAAAAGGCGAAAGCCAGTTGAGATTTTCATTTGGTGTTTAGTTTAAGTAGCTTGATTCACCATGATTAGTGCGGTGGCGAAATCGGGCAATCTTGCCCCTTACCTGAAGAACACTAGCCAGGCCGTAGTGTCATCCCTGAAAACCTCAGTGAAACCAGTTGTCGTGTCCTCCGATAAAGTTGTGGCACCTACTCCTGTTTCGAAGAGTACCGATTTTTCCCTAGGCAGTGCACTTAATCGCGGTAAAATCTCCGTGCAGTACGGTCTCAATGGTAAGTGCATGTTTGATGTCTCACTCGTTGCACCATACTGACACTCCCACTGTACACATAACCTTCTTACACAACTGCGGATGAGATCCATGTCATTGATTTCGTCCCTATTTCCTAGTTTGAGTCATTGCTACTCATGGTCTTAGTATCGTCCTATCAGAGTTTTGGATTTAAAAATCTGTTTTTCAAGTTGTCATTCTGTTGTAATGCATTTAAAGAAAATTGTGTGTAGCCCCTCTCGAAAATATCGTCAACATAACCTCTACCTTCTGTGGTTTTTCTTGCCAAATCTTAAGTTTTGTCGTTCATGTTCAACATTTAGATTTATATAACCCTATTATCTCATTTCTCTTTTTAAATCTGCATTATTTTTGTCCCTTGAAGATTATGATAGTAATGCTCCAGTTTGTGTTTGAATTGCTTCAGTTACTGGGTCATAGTCCAAATAATTTCACTCATGCATCTTTTCTTCTTTTTATTGAAACAGGACCTCTTCAAATCCGGTCAGCTCACACCGATGTCCGTGTTCCGGATTTCACTTACTACAGGAAGACATCAACACTCGACCCCACCAAGAAAGCCGAAGCCTCTGAGTCATCACGTAAAACATTCGCCTACACAGTCACTGCAGGTAATTCTTACTTTCATCATTGTAATGATTATGTGATGCGATGAAACTTGACTGATTGTACATTTTTTTCCAGGTGGATTTGTTCTTACGACGTATGCTGCCAAGAATTTGGTTGGCACATTTGTTACCAGTATGAGCGCCTCAGCCGATGTGTTGGCTCTTGCATCTATCGAAGTTAACCTTAATGATATCCCAGAAGGCAAAAGTGTCACTTTCAAGTGGAGAGGCAAACCTCTGTTCATCCGTCACAGGTAATATTTATCACTTAATGTTGTGCAGACACTCTACTTTGTGACTACCTCTCAATGAGTGTGTGTCTAATTCGTCTTTAGGAATGGCAAGGAGATTGCCACTGAAAGTGGTGTCGACTTAGGATCATTGAGAGACCCCCAGCACGACACTGAGCGAGTAAAGGACCCCAAATGGCTTATTGTCATTGGTGTCTGCACTCACTTGGGTTGCGTGCCAGTGGCCAATGCCGGTATGTTTTAATGGGATGAAAGTAATACTTGACTTGCAGTGTTGCCAGTATTTCATATTTTCCGTCTTTCAGGTGACTTTGGTGGTTACTATTGCCCATGCCATGGCTCTCACTATGACGCATCTGGCCGCATCAGGAAAGGACCTGCTCCCCTCAACCTGGAGGTTCCTCCCTATGAAATCAAGGACGATGGAATGGTTATTGTAGGCTAAACTAATTTTTTTAGACAATTGTAGTAAATTGCACATGGACATCAACTATTCATATCTTGCTTTTATTTTCTCTCTAAAAATATCCGAGCTATCTTCCATCCGGCAGAAACTGTTTCATCCAAATAACATTTTGATTGGTTAATTTTATTAGCGTTCTGCCTTAAACTATGGCCGTCGTTTTTTTTCTTTTCTTCTCTCGGATTTACAGGTATGTAAATCATGTATTGTAAAGACAAACTATACTATGTGTGTTACTGGAGCGCCCAGCTTGCTCCGCGTTGTACAGTACGGGGATCCTTTGACCCATCAATAAAGGATTTTAAGTTTTACGAGTTGGCTCCGGCATTCCCTCCCTTTTCCATCACGCGCAGGGTGGGGTGGGGCGGCCGATGTTGTTGTATGTGGGTGAAGTTCAGTTTTACCACCCCCTTAGGCCGGGGCTGCGCTTGCCGGCGGCCGGCCCGGCTGTGCTCGGTCCGGCCCTCGGCTCGGCTCGGCTTCGGCCGGGCCGGGTCGATTCTGCGCTGGAGAATCCTGAGGGATGGCGTTGCTGGCGATGCACTTTAAGCGACAGGCGTGGTGAAGGGGTGGGGGTGG